GTGTGTGTGTGTGTGTGTGTGTGTGCACACACAAATGTCTATTCATGCACCCACATCTGAACTAATGAGCAGATCTGCGCAACATCCAGGGATACAGATGGTCTTCACTTCTGCTTTTTGCATTCTTCCATCCAAAGCTGCCTCTGCGTCGCTCTATGTGCAGCAGCAGAGTTCCCATTTCTATCAAAGTTCTGGGTAGTTCATGTAGATGAGACGGAAGAGTGACCTGGGGAACAATAAAAGTGTTTTTGTGGTCAGATAAAAAGGATGCTTGTTCACCAGAAACCATCACGGTTGCCATGGAAACATGGTACCTATTGGCAAGAAGTGAAATTTCAAGGGCTTTGACCTGCTGGGAACTTCTTCATCCAATGTTTCTGAGAAATGGAGGCAGTTTATGTTGAATAAGAAATGGTGTCTAAATGCAGCGCTGACATGCAGGAGCCTCTCTCACCACTTCCTTCTTTCTAACACAACCACAGAAACTTTGTGTTTTTTCATTACTGTCTAATCCATCATTTCACGATATGACCAGTTTTACCTGATCTTTTTCTAACTCTGATCACCTCTTCCTTGTCTACCACTCTTACTACTTCTTCCTTTATCTCTGGCTTTTCCTGCTTTTTATTCCTCCATCTTTTTTCTGCTTCTTTCTTCCACCAAGCTTTTTACAGTGCAGCGCCGCTCACCTCAGCCGGCATCATTCCCATCATGCAGTCGCTGTGCCCAGATGGACAGAGGGATGAGTTTGGATTCCTGCAATACAAGAATTCTACGTGAGTAGAACGGAGAACAGGATTTACTCTTAAACATTCTTGTGTCACTTTGTGTTTGATTGTTTTTTTAGCATTAAGTACCACTATCAAAAAAGCTTAGACCAAAAGTGAACTGATCAGCTGTTAAATACCACCATGATATAATCCAAGTTCTCGTTAAATGAATTGCCCTTGAAAAGGTGAAATTCTAATAGGATTTAAATCTGGATAGAAAATGTTGTCGATTTGCTGCTTGGTTTCGTCACACAGGTGGCTGTGTGACGAAACTAGGATTGAAGCGATTAATCAGGTAAATTGTGATTAATTGATTATTGAATTGATCATCAACTAATTTAGTAATTGATCATTAATTGGTGTCACACACATAAACAGGTCATTTGCTGAAAGAGCAACACAGTCAAAGCAGTAATGAAGCCAACATAAACATTTAAAATGAAAAACCTTCTTTGTGTGTTCTACCCAGAACTCAAGCGGCAGTTTTAGCTTTACTTGGTTCAAATTCTGTAAGGAAAAATAAAAAAAAGGATAAATAAATCTGCTATTAAGTACCTTTTGCTATCCAATAATTAATCAGTTAGTCCCAAAGTAATCACCTAATAATTCAGTGCTGCAGAAAGGCTTGGAGCTCTTCACATGTTGATGTTACAAGTGTTTTTAGTTGCAAATGCAGCCTTTGCTCCAAATTATCAAGCTTCACTAAATGAATTGCATCTTAGGAAATAAAATATAAATTTTCTGATTTAAAAAGGAATTGAATTCTTTATTTGTGTTTTAGTGCATTGCTAATATTGTCTAAAATAGGCTTAAATGCTTAATTGAAAAATCTGCAGAATGTGCCAATTTTTTTATCCTTTAATCATCAGAATGATTGATAGAATAATCAAATACTAAAATACTCCTTAGTTCCAGCCCTAGATAAAACACTGGACATGAAAGCCAGTGAGAAAACATCCAATGCTGTTTGTACTGGATATTTTCCATCCAGTACAAACAGCAGTGACCTTCTAGTTGAGTCAGGCAGCTGACTCATTATCAGGTTAATATAAAGCCCAGGGTTCCTGGAGCGCCCATGTGCTGCACGAATGGTTGAACATCAGAAAACGATGAAATGTTAAAGTTGGGTTCTGTGATGTCTGCTGATGTTCAGACGTAAATGTAAATGCCTTAGTAGGTTGCTCTTCTTTTCAGTGAAGACATGTAACACTTTACGTTCTTAGTTTGCACATTTTTACTTCATTCATGTTTTTGTTTTTGACTCAAAGCATTTTTTTTTCGCAGTTGTGGAAATTCTTGCTAAATTAACAGTCTCCTGCATTTTTTCACACTAATGTGCCTTTGTTGCAGATTTTCCACAAAAAAGGTCATGATTTTTTTTGTGAAACATCATGACCTTGATGACTTGAAAAAGTCATCATGTTTAAGTGACTGATGACACTCACCTGCTGGTGGCTGTTTTTCTTAATTCCACTGTACTGTTGCCTCAATCCTAACTTGATGTCAAGTTCTAATCCGTGATCAATATGGCAAGTAACAAAAAGTCATATTTACCCTTAAACATAAGTACATCAGAATCCCATTGTTCTCCATGAGCGGGGAAAAATTACTGCAAAATTCTTTGCAAATATTTCTTGAATAGCTCTGCCAGATGAGTGATTTTGATTGCAAATAATCATAAAAACAATTGTGAAATCCTGGAGGGACTGGTCAAAGTAATTACATTAACAGGACACAGGAGAAGTGAAGAATATCATGATGGGGATGTAAACTGCCACGTTTGATTGGAACCAGGACCTGACCGTGTTTCATATCCATCTGGTTCCAGAGTGACTCAGCTGCTGGAGCGAATCAGTGAAGTGGTTGAACAGAACCGCCTTTTCACATCTGACAGACCGGGTTTGGGTCAGGATCTGGAGACCCTGCAGCAGCACCTGGAGAGCCTCAGCGCTGCACCTTTACCGCCCGACTATGGCTTCAACAGCAGCAGCCAAGGTCTGACTCACTTCAGCTTCACTTTTACCAATAACAAGCTTCCTTCTTTCCCCTCCAGGACAGGATTCCTTCTGCTGGAACAGGTCCAGGTGTTTTCACAGAGCTCTGCCCTCAGAACCAATACTCACGCCTCCCACTGACGGACAGAGCTGGATCCAGAAGTGGAGCCCAGACACAATCTATCCTTTAGGTGTTTCATTGCTCATCGAGATGTTTATGACAGTTATATATTCTTCACCCAAGGCAGCAAAATTAGGCTTTCATTGTTTAAAAAAAGGTGTTGGGCAGCCCTTTTCTCAAAATCATTTATTGATAAGAAGCTCAGTAACTGTAAGGTGAAACCCATATCATGTAATATTACATCATAAACTGGGACTTTTGGTCATATCGAGCAAGTCTAAGTAAAGGCCAGTCTCCTCCACATCAGCAGCTCTCTGCACAGATTAATCTAATGGAAAGCAGGAAATCCAGTCTGGTCTATGTGAACCTTACTGTTTGAATTACATATTGGAACCGAGCAGCTCCCACATCTTCTAAACCAGGGGTCACCAACTCCAGTCCTCGAGGGTCACCATCCTGTAACTTTTAGACGGGTCTCTGCTCAAACACACCTGGATCAAATAAACTG